GATGCACTAACATTAGCTAGACTCTATTTCTCCGACATGTTTTCACCTGTATGAGAGCTATGCCAAAAAATGTCATAACTCACTCTATCCCAGGGATAAACCGAAGACATAGTGTTATATCAGGGATGAGGCAGTCGGCAGATAAGGGAGACTGATAGGTTTTACCCGTACACGAAACAGACACAAATAACTCACGTTCAGGATCTAATCTACACTGTTAATCTGTGTGCGTAATGAATGTGTCATTAAAATTGTGTTTCATGGCGTCTCCAGTGATAGGCAGAACAGTAGAAGTGTTGGCAGGTTATTCTGGCAGACAAATGAGAGGGTAAATATAATTAATCATTGTTGTCTCCAGTTTGAGGGCTTTTACAGTAACAGTAATAGGATAATAACAGAATCCTATCTATGAGATCAATTTTAGGCATGTAACAAAAGCTGTAAACTAATGGCATATTAGTTTGGCCCTAATGTCAAGGTTCAAATCTGATTTTGCATTCCTGTAACTACCTATTTGTATGTGTATTTGTATTTCTGTATAAAAACTGGGATTAAACAAATATGACATTTTGAACATCTATATCAGTTATTCTGTGCAAGTTTTCTTCTTGTGATTAATTAATATGACATCATAATAATGAGACATAATCCATAAATCCAAACCCCCAAATCATCTTCATGAGTGTTACAGTATCTGTCAGGTTCGGTCCAGTCGTAGGACTGACGTACAGATGCAGACTTGAGTGACGTGCACCTGGGACAGAGAGGGATTGGGTTTCAGTGGCGGGCAGGCAGCGCTGCCTCCCAGCCTGTTGATTTATATACACAGTGTAAGTGACTTGTTTTAAGCCATGAATCTGCCTCATTTGATGGGACGGCTGAACAAACAACACCACAGGCTCTTAGCCGATGGAAGCAAACTACGACCACAAGACAAGACTCCAGTTCTAATACCCTCAGGAGCAACACTGAGACCCCTAGTGTTTTATCGCAGAAACTCACTTTAACTCATGCTGCAAGGACAAACAGTACATACCTGTATATACAAATACTGTATGTATATTAACAAATATTAACTATATACATTGTATACAACACATATGAACATGAATATATTGAACAAAGTATGCAGATCTAAATCAAATTTGGATAAACAAAATATGAGACGTTAAATCTAAAAGGCCCGTATGTCCAAAGCCTTGTGTACATTTCCATGTGAGTAATTTGTAAATGTAGAAAGCAGAAGATGGGGACGGACAGGAGGGTGCAAAGCAGGCCATCTGTACATGGAGCCCTGCCTACAGAACCACTTGGCTCTGGGTGAGGTGGTATAGTAGGACCCGGTGCTGCTGAATGGCTGGTCATGTCTGGACAGGGTTGGTGCTGCTGAATGGCTGGTCATGTCTGGACAGGGTTGGTGCTGCTGAATGGCTGGTCATGTCTGGGTTGGTGCTGCTGAATGGCTGGTCATGTCTGGACAGGGTTGGTGCTGCTGAATGGCTGGTCATGTCTGGACAGGGTTGGTGCTGCTGAATGGCTGGTCATGTCTGGGTTGGTGCTGCTGAATGGCTGGTCATGTCTGGGTTGGTGCTGTTGAATGGCTGGTCATGTCTGGGTTGGTGCTGTTGAATGGCTGGTCATGTCTGGGCAGGGTTGGTGTTGGTGAATGGCTGGTCATGTCTGGACAGGGTTGGTGCTGGTGAATGGCTGGTCATGTCTGGACAGGGTTGGTGCTGTTGAATGGCTGGTCATGTCTGGGTTGGTGCTGCTGAATGGCTGGTCATGTCTGGACAGGGTTGGTGCTGGTGAATGGCTGGTCATGTCTGGACAGGGTTGGTGCTGCTGAATGGCTGGTCATGTCTGGGTTGGTGCTGCTGAATGGCTGGTCATGTCTGGGTTGGTGCTGTTGAATGGCTGGTCATGTCTGGGTTGGTGCTGTTGAATGGCTGGTCATGTCTGGGCAGGGTTGGTGTTGGTGAATGGCTGGTCATGTCTGGACAGGGTTGGTGCTGGTGAATGGCTGGTCATGTCTGGACAGGGTTGGTGCTGTTGAATGGCTGGTCATGTCTGGGTTGGTGCTGCTGAATGGCTGGTCATGTCTGGACAGGGTTGGTGCTGGTGAATGGCTGGTCATGTCTGGACAGGGTTGGTGCTGTTGAATGGCTGGTCATGTCTGGGTTGGTGCTGGTGAATGGCTGGTCATGTCTGGGTTGGTGCTGGTGAATGGCTGGTCATGTCTGGACAGGGTTGGTGCTGGTGAATGGCTGGTCATGTCTGGACAGGGTTGGTGCTGGTGAATGGCTGGTCATGTCTGGACAGGGTTGGTGCTGTTGAATGGCTGGTCATGTCTGGGTTGGTGCTTTTGAATGGCTGGTCATGTCTGGGTTGGTGCTGTTGAATGGCTGGTCATGTCTGGACAGGGTTGGTGCTGCTGAATGGCTGGTCATGTCTGGGTTGGTGATGTTGAATGGCTGGTCATGTCTGGACAGGGTTGGTGCTGTTGAATGGCTGGTCATGTCTGGGTTGGTGCTGGTGAATGGCTGGTCATGTCTGGACAGGGTTGGTGCTGCTGAATGGCTGGTCATGTCTGGACAGGGTTTCCCTCGACTCACTCTTCAGTGTTTTTCTCACAGAAGTTTATCTGGATATACAGTGTAACATAAACAGGTCAAATGTATATTTACATTTACATTTACGTCATTTAGCAGACGCTCTTATCCAGAGCGACTACATGTGCTTTTAATGAATTTGTGATGTGTTTTTCACTGTATGTATTGGCCATCAATTCCTAAGACGAAACACATGGGAGAGAATGGAGAGAATTACTTGCCAAGTTGCATTTTTGTCTGAATTTAAAACGGTTAAGGTAAAATAACGATTAGGATGTTGCCAGAATCGACTAGGCGCGTTGAGAACACGCAGAATACAGTGTGTGAGAGAGAGATGGTGGGGGTGATTACACCTTCTTTCCCTCAAAGCTGTTTTCCCCAGGGTGCAATTTTCACCTTTTTTTGTTCTAAGCAAACGGGAAGAAAACACCTCAGTTGCCACAAATAGCAGTTGGCAATAAAACCTACAGAAATCTGCATGAGATTTTTAATTCCCCACTTGGTAATTTAAGGGGTTATCGTTGCCTGTAATAAAATTATGGAAATGATCATAAATAAAGACACTAGGAGTGTCATGAAGACACCAAGCAGAGGTAACGGAAACAATATTTTCAGTAGTCTGTTAATGAATATGGGGATCTGTTTTTATTCCTGAGCAATTAGCAAATTATGATGAGACAGGGTCAGGTATTGTAGTAAATTCACACAGCTAATAATACACAGAGGGACTAAGACAATTCAGGTGTTCACAACACGATCATGACACCAGACACCTCCTCCCTCTTTCTTCTCCACCGCCCAGGAAATATTAACGGTAGAGCAGAGCTGTGCGTCTCTGTCGAGACTCTGTTTCACCGCTAAGCATTGTGGGTGTTTGGCTTGGTAGTAATAGTGAATCAGACTTAAAAAATGTTATTAACCTCTATCAATCAACAAAGAAAAGGCAATTAATAGGAAAAATATAATAGTAAAAAATGAAAGTGAGAAGGAAGTAACTCTTAGACAAAGGACAGGTCACCGTTTCAGCATTCACAGGTTCAGCCTCCAGTCTAGGGTTAGTTGTCATGCTAGCCAGGCTGTCTCTGTCTGTGTGCAGGTGGGGTTGACATGCTCCTCATTGAGACTGGGAGTTGTAACAGGATGCTGCATAGGGTGCCATTTGGGACGCATACGTAGAAAGGTGTTCCTCCAGTCCTCCCAGGTGGCTGCGAAATGCCCTGGGAACTGGGTGACATCACACCCGGGGGTTTGACCTGCAGTTAGCGTGGAGCCCCACCAGGTATTGTCCTGGCTTGTCAAACATCCATTGACATAGTGATCCTTTTTACATCCGCTGAGCAAATGGTTCCGCTGCCGGCCGCAACAAAACAGAGGGGGGTGAGAGGGGTGAGGGTTGTCCCACTTTCACCCCCTCTGCTACCCATCTGCCCTGAGCAAAGCACCGGGACGGGACGGGGGTTCAAGCACCAGGGTGCAAAAGTCACCAATGAATGTGTCAATCAGCTTCACGTTTGTGGTCGTTGTTAGTCACGTCTGACACCTTCTCAAATTACCTCATTATAACACACAGTGGGTGGATGAGGAGGTCATGACTGCAGGGTAAATTAGCGATGAACTAATTAACAGTTTATAAGTAGTTTAGAAACTGTTAATTAACCTTTTCTACATTAGAAAGTACACCCTAACGCATTAACAAACATTGTCAGCATCTTTTCTGCACTTTCACATTGATTAGACAAATACACAATGTTCATTATTTCATTGTGACAACCTTTTTCTTTCAGTGAAAACATACTGGAGAAATAAAATAAGTTGACAGTAGACAAGATAAAAGGACAAAGCCAAAGCGATACTCATCAACCCATTCCAACCAACTGGCCTGTTCTGCCCCCTAGCGTTTATCACATTTGACACGTTTCACACAACCTGCCCCCTAGTGGATCACTGACACATTTCACACAACCTTCCCCCTAGTGGATCACTGACACATTTCACACAACCTGCCCCCTAGTGGATCACTGACACATTTCACACAACCTGCCCCCTAGTGGATCACTGACACATTTCACACAACCTTCCCCCTAGTGGAGACGCTGACACATTTCACACAAACACTTGAAGTCAAACGGTTCAGATGCAGCTGTTTATTGTGACTCATGCACTCCCTTTCTCCTCTGTTCCCATCCTCCTAGATCCAGCTCTCTCCTCTGTTCTCATCCTCCTAGATCCAGCTCTCTCCTCTGTTCTCATCCTCCTAGATCCAGCTCTCTCCTCTGTTCTCATCCTCCTAGATCCAGCTCTCTCCTCTGTTCTCATCCTCCTAGATCCAGCTCTCTCCTCTGTTCTCATCCTCCTAGATCTATCCGCTGCCTTCGGGGAAAAGCGTCGGCTAAATGATTAAAATGTAAATGTAAACAAACAAAAATGTAAAACAAAAGGAGTAAACGCAAGAGTAACAAAAAAACTACTTCAACGACCTCTCACATTTAGTACTAGTAAAAATACTGATTAAAAGTGCTAGTGCATCAGAAGAAAAAATATATAAAAATAAAAACACAGAAATGCTTTTGGTTCTTTAGAAGTTAATAACAATCTATTTCCATACTCTATGAAACAAAAAGGTTAAACACATCTCAATACAAAAGCAGTTGCCTTTAGCAACTGTTTAAATTGTATTACTGCATTATATTCTGTAACGTTTATTCCATATCGAGTGACGTAAAACCTTTTTTGACAGACGTAATAGTTTTCTCAGGAGGAAGGTAGATCCAAAACACTTTGTAGCTACTAGCTATGTACCACACGATTGAACATCTGCAAGTTAAACCATCAACGTGAACACTGTCACGTTCACCTAGAATATTCTCAGTTGAACAGTAACATTACTGTGAGAATGTCAGTTGAATAAGAATCTCAGTTGAACAGCTGGTGTCAGTTAAGTCCAACAGCCCGTGGCTATGCCCACCCCCTAAAAAACAGTCCTGTTGTATGAACACCATACTGATATACAAATATTAGGTACTGTAAAGGCACAGCAGGTATAAAACTGGACAATAACACAAATAAAAAAACATTAATTTGGCATCATGTTCCATCAAACATGTGACTATAGCCCTTTGTAAAGGTACCTGGACTTTGGTTGTCAAAAGTAGGATTAGGGTTGCAAAAGTAAGTCCCAAAACATTCCCAAAATCCCCTGCTTTTTCAGAAAGTAAGTATTTCAGGTTGGAGGAATCCCTCCTTACGTATTCCTTCCTGATTCTTGGAATCCACCAAGCAGGGATTTCTGAAAAAAATTCTTTCAGAATTTGGGGAAAGTTTCCGGATTCAGGCTCCATGCTTGCAACCCTAGACAGGATTAAGAGAAAGGTAACTGATTGCCCTGTTCGGTCTGGGTGGATCAGATACTATGGGTAAGGAAGGACAGGAGTCTCTGTGTTTCTTCAGTTTAAACATGGGTGGATCAGCTGGGGAAGACCTCAGACACTATGGGGAAGGAAGAGAAGGTAGGACAGGAGTCTCTGTGCTTCAGTTTAAACACGAGTTGCTCTTTCTCCTGGGTGAGCCTCTGACTGAGACCTGTCTGCCTGTCTAACGCCCCCTGGAGGTCCTGGTGCTCCTTGGAGAGCTGCCTACAGACAGGAGCACAGGGAAGGGTAGATAATAGAAGAGAACACATATAACAACATTGATAGTTTAGGACAGAAATACATTTATAATGAGCTACAAAGCAAAGCACTTTTTAAATCAATCCTTTGCTGACCTAAAATCACTATTCTTCATCAAAATCCTACATGTGTAGAAGTAGCACCAACAAGCCATCCAGCAGCTATAGAAATTACACAAGTTCAGATGATTGAATTTAACTTTTACACTAAAGTAAACAGCCATAACTGGCTTCCTTTAAGAAATATCCCTACCACTTTCTCCACCAAGTGGCGCCACATTCACATCTTATGTAAATGCCATTGCCGTTTCCTACATTTGAGTTTGCTTGAACAGAACTTGTTAAGTTTGTTCATCTATTTACAGCCTTGTTGCCATGTATTCTACAATGTGACTTCCTGGTACAGACCTAACAACATTAACTCCAGGGTAACTGACTGTTACCAACAACTCCAGGGTAACTGACTGTTACCAACAACTCCAGGGTAACTGACTGTTACCAACAACTCCAGGGTAACTGACTGTTACCAACAGAGACAGAGAGGGTGTGGATATCATATGATAAGCAGCAGCAGGTCTTACTGTACAAGGCTTTGATAGTTGTCGATCCGAACCCTCAGGTCCTCATTCTGCTGTAGAACATTTATGACCTGGTCTTCTAGAGAGAGATTCTTCTCCACCTGAATTGGTAGAAATAAAAAAGTAAGGACCCTATCAGCAATCAGGGTGGTGAAGACGACATGTTGAAATTCACAGACTTCGTGAAACTATAACACAGAGTACAGTTGAAGTCGGAAGTTTACATACACTTAGGTTGGAGTCATTAAAACTTGTTTTTCAACCACTCCACACATTTCTTGTTAAAATATAGTTTTGGCAAGTCGGTTAGGACATCTACTTTGTGCATGAAACAAGTAATTTTTCCAACAATTGTTTACAGACAGATTATTTCACTTATAATTCACTGTATCACAATTCCAGTGGGTCAGAAGTTCACATACACTAAGTTGACTGTGCCTTTAAACAGCTTGGAAAATTCCAGAAAATGATGTCATGGCCTTAGAAGCTTCTGATAGGCTAATTGACATAATTTGAGTCAATTGGAGGTGTACCTGTGGATGTATTTCAAGGCCTACCTTCAAACTCAGTGCCTCTTTGCTTGACATTATGGGAAAATCAAAAAGAAATCAGCCAAGACCTCAGAAAAAAAAATTGTAGACCTCCATAAGTCTGGTTCATCCTTGGGAGCAATTTCCAAACGCCTGAAGGTACCACGTTCACCTGTACAAACAATAGTACGCAAGTATAAACACCATGGGACCACGCAGCCGTCATACCGCTCAGGAAGGAGACGCGTTCTGTCTCCTAGAGATGAACGTACTTTGGTGCAAAAAGTGCAAATCAATCCCAGAACAACAGCAAAGGAACTTGTGAAGATGCTGGAGGAAACAGGTTCAAAAGTATCTATATCCACAGTAAAACAAGTCCTATATCGGCATAACCTGAAAGGCCACTCAGCAAGGAAGAAGCCACTGCTCCAAAACCGCCATAAAAAAGCCAGACTACGGTTTGCAACTGCACATGGGGACAAAGATCGTACTTTTTGGAGAAATGTCCTCTGGTCTGATGAAACAAAAATAGAACTGTTTGGCCATGATGACCATCGTTATGTCTGGAGGAAAAAGGGGAATGCTTGCAAGCCGAAGAACACCATCCCAACTGTGAAGCACAGGGGTGGCAGCATCATGCTGTGGGGGTGCTTTGCTGCAGGAGGGACTGGTGCACTTCAACAAAAAAGATGGCATCATGAGGAAGGAAAATTATGTGGATATATTGAAGCAACATCTCAAGACATCAGTCAGGTAGTTAAAGCTTGGTCGCAAATGGGTCTTCCAAATGGACAATGACCCCACGCATACTTCCAAAGTTGTGGCAAAATGGCTTAAGGACAACAAAGTCAAGGTATTGGAGTGGCCATCACAAAGCCCTGACCTCAATCCTATAGAACATTTGTGGTCAGAACTGAAAAAGCGTGTGCGAGCAAGGAGGCCTACAAACCTGACTCAGTTACACCAGCTCTGTCAGGAGGAATGGGCCAACATTCACCCAACTTATTGTGGGAAGCTTGTGGAAGGCTACCCGAAACGTTTGACCCAAGTTAAACAATTTAAAGGCAATGCTACCAAATACTAATTGAGTGTATGTAAACTTCTGACCCACTGGGAATGTGATGAAAGAAATAAAAGCTTAAATAAATAATTCTCTCTACTATTATTCTGACATTTCACATTCTTAAAATAAAGTGGTGATCCTAACTGACCTAAGACGGGGAATTTTTTACTAGGATTAAATGTCAGGAATTGTGAAAAACTGAGTTTAAATGTATTTGGCTAAGGTGTATGTAAACTTCGACTTCAACTGTATTTATTGACAGCGCAGAGCACCTCAGATTTCTTGTTTCTGTTTTATTTCCTCTGTAAAGTGTATTGAGACCGGGACTTTAAATAAAGTTTGACTTGAATTTGACTAGGAGAAATCTCTAAGAGACAGGTGCCTGGACTAGTCTGTCAGCCAGTCCCCAGTCCCAGTCCCTGTTCCCTACCAGAGACTGCATCTGGAGCAGTCTGTTCCCCTGCTCCTGAATACGCTCACTCTTCATCTCAATGACAAACAGCAGACTCTCTTGCTCCCGCTCCCAGAACGGCCCAGGGCTGCCATGGGCCTGGAGAGAGAGGTAGGGAGGGGAGAGAGAGGGAGGGAGAGGGAGAGAAAGAGGGAGGGAGTGGAGAGAGGGGGAGGGAGGAGAGAGAGGAGGGAGAGAGAGAGGGAGGGGACGGAGGATAGAGAGGGAGGGTAGCGAGGAGAGAGGGGAGGGGAGAGAGTTAGGATGGGAGAAGGTCTCCTTCTCTCTATTTCTTTCTTCTCTCTTTCTTTCTTCTCTCTCTTTCTCCTTTCTCTCTCTTTCTTTCTTTTCTCGTCTCTTCTTTCGTCTCTTTCTTCCCATAGGGGAGAGAAATTAAGATTAAAAAAATTTAACAGCCTACTAACTGAGCACCTTTAGACCAGATGTCTAAAGCAACAGTCCAACTAAGTGAACTGGTTATGGGATCATGCACACACAGCATGTAGAAACAGACCCACCGTGCAGACACACACACACACACACCATGTAGAAACAGACCCACTGTGCAGACACACACACACACACACACACACACACCATGTAGAAACAGACCCACTGTGCAGACACACACACACACACACACACACCTGAATGTTCCGCTGCAGGTCCTTCTTGAAGGTAGACTCCTCAACTCTCTTCTTTAACTCGTTGTACACATGGAGCTCTGCAGTCAGCTCTTCTACCTCGTCCTTCAAAATAAAACCTACTGGTCAGTCCTGTACTTCCTATTACACAGTTTGTAGGTAAGGGACCACAGTAAATAAAAACAAGGATCAAAATGGATAAAATGCTGAATAAGTTAAAAAAGACAACTAAACACACCTTCAACACTTTCTCAGCTGCCTGGTGGGTGGCTGTTAGCCGTGTCGTCTCTTCACTGTGTATCCCCTGCAGTTCTGTGGGGGATAACAGGGATTCTATATGTAATTCTACGGGCCGGGATAACATCAGTCAATGATTACTCATTCTAGAACCGGGATAACATCAGTCAATGATTACTCATTCTAGAACCAACAGAAAAAAAACATTCCAGTTCCAACACAACAGAATCAACATTGTTATTAGATCTAGATCTCCAGAAGTTATTTCACAGCTCTAGTCTTTGGTTATTAGATCTAGATCTCCAGAAGTTATTTCACAGCTCTAGTCTTGCCTTCCAGCTGTCTCTCGTGCTGCTCTGTGGTCCTCTGGCTCGCCTCCCCATGGAGAACAGTCAGGTCAGCAGCCGTCTCTGTCTTCACCTGGAGATCAGCAAGAACATAAGGACAGGGTTTAGCCATGTACATCCACACTTGTCATAGGAGCTAGACAAAGTGAATATCAAATATAAAACAACAGTGAGATATTTATGTTATATAAACAAAACAAGTGTATAATACCAGGTGACCCAGCCATACCTCGCTGCTCTACCAGGTGTATAATAACAGGTGACCCAGCCATACCTCGCTGCTCTACCAGGTGTATAATACCAGGTGACCCTGCCATACCTCGCTGCTCTACCAGGTGTATAATCCCAGGTGACCCAGCCATACCTCGCTGCTCTACCAGGTGTATAATACCAGGTGACCCAGCCATACCTCGCTGCTCTACCAGGTGTATAATACCAGGTGACCCAGCCATACCTCGCTGCTCTACCAGGTGTATAATACCAGGTGACCCAGCCATACCTCGCTGCTCTACCAGGCGTATAATACCAGGTGACCCAGCCATACCTCGCTGCTCTACCAGGTGTATAATACCAGGTGACCCAGCCATACCTCGCTGCTCTACCAGGTGTATAATACCAGATGACCCAGCCATAACTCGCTGCTCTACCAGGTGTATAATACCAGGTGACCCAGCCATACCTCGCTGCTCTACCAGGCGTATAATACCAGGTGACCCAGCCATACCTCGCTGCTCTACCAGGCGTATAATACCAGATGACCCAGCCATAACTCGCTGCTCTACCAGGCCATGTCAAGATGAGGACAGACAACACTTAACAATCCAACTGGCTGCTACCAACCCATCACTTAATACACAATAAATCAACATGCCTCCCAAGACTTCTCACTTCTTGTTCTTACTTTGTCAACGATTTTTGAACAATTTCCATTCTGATGCCAAAGCAGCCAAACAGATCTATGTCTGCATCCCAAATTACACCCTATTCCCTACATAGTGCACTACTTTTGATCAGAGCCCTATGTGATAGGGTGCCAATGGGAAAACAACCTTGCTCTGCTGACAGGAGGATTACAAATCCATGGCCAGAGAGCTATGCAGGCAGTCACACAGGGCATCACAACACACACACGCACCAAATAGGTAGTGTTCCCAAAGATTGTGTAATGGAAAAGCATGCGTTTATCATCTCTGACAGCTGTATAATATATGACTTGTGTTTCTGTGCTGCTCTGGTTATTCTGAATTCAGTCGCTCCGACTTGAAGCTGCACGTCCTGGAAGCATGGGGCGACGTCCCAAATGGCACCCTATTCTCCATGTAGCGCACTACTTTCGACCAGGGCCCATAGGGACTATATAGGGAATAGGGTGCCATTTGGGACGCAGATACTATGAGACCTCAATTCAAAAGGCTAACCAGGCTCTATTGTGTCAGGCACTTTGTGTCAATAAAATACAAAAATCACAATGCAATCCTGTAGGAAGAGCAGATGGACTTTCTGTGATCTGCTTAGTAATAACCATACCCACGCATGCTGTAGTAGTGGCTCTGTGGTTCACACTGATTCATACGAATGGCCTTTTCGTGCCATCGTGCCAACCCTGTGCCAACTGTACTGTGTTGGCATGGACATTTTGTTGTTTTCACGTTGTCCTCTCCAACCCGGTTCCGGCAACTATGGTGGATATGCTGTATAACCAGGCCAGCACCAGTACAGTTGGCTCTGCTCAGCAGTGTGGAAAGGGTATATGGTCTATGGTGAATAAAAATATAAAAACGTAACATGTAAAGTGTTGGTCCCATGTTTCGTGAGCTGAAATAAAAGATCCCAGAAAATGTTCCACACGCACAAAAAGCTTATTTCTCTCAAATTTTGTGCACAATTTTGTTTACATCCCTGTTAGTGAGCGTTTCTCCTTTGACAAGATAATCCATCCACCTGACAGGTGTGGCATATCAAGAAGCTGATTAAACAGCATGATCATTACACAGGTGCACCTTGTGCCGGGGACAATAAAAGGCCACTAAAATGTGCAGTTTTGTCACACAACACAATGCCACAGATGTCTCAAGTTGAGGGAGCGTGCAATTGGCATGCTGAGTTCAGGAATGTCCACCATAGCTGTTGCCAGATAATTTAATGTTAATTTCTCTACCATAACCCGCCTCCAACGTTGTTTTAGAGAATTTGGCAGTACGTCCAGCCGTCCTCACAACTGCAGACTACGTGTATGGCGGTTTGCTGACTTCAACGTTGTGAACAGAGTGCCCGATGGTGGCAGTGGGGTTATGGTATGGGCAGGCATAAGCTACAGACAACAAACATAAAATTTCATCGATGGCAATTTTTAATGCACAGAGATACCGTGACGAGATCCTGAGGCCCATTGTCGTGCTATTCATCCGCCGCCATCACATCATATTTCCGCATGATAATGCAAGGATCTGTATAAAATTCCTGGAAGCTAAAAATGTCCCAGTTCTTCCACGGCCTGCATACTCACCAGACATGTCACCCATTGAGCATGTTTGGGATGCTCTGGATCTGTGTGTAGGACAGCGTGTTCCAGTTCCTGCCAATATCCAGCAACTTTGCACAACCATTGAAGAGGAGTGGGACAACCTTCCACAGGCCACAATCAACAGCCTGATCAACTGTATGCGAAGGAGATGTCGTGCTGCATGAGGCAAATGGTGGTCACACCAGATACTGACTGGTTTTCTGATCCACGCCCCTACCTTAAAAAAAAAAAAGTTATCTGTGACCAATATCTGTATTCCCAGTCGTGTGAAATCCATATATTAGGGCCTAATTTATTTATTTTAATTGACAGAATTCCTTATATGAACTGTAACTCAGTAAAATCTTAGAAATTGTTGCATTTTTGTTCAGTCTAAATGGTACAGGTATATAGTATATGGTAAAGGGTATATGGTGAACGTAAATGGTACAGGGCATAGGTATATGGTAAAGGGTACAGGTATATAGTATATGGTAAAGGGTATAGGTATATAGTATATGGTAAAGGGTACAGGTATATAGTATATGGTAAAGGGTACAGGTATATAGTATATGGTAAAGGGTACAGGTATATAGTATATGGTAAAGGGTACAGGTATATAGTATATGGTAAAGGGTACAGGTATATAGTATATGGTAAAGGGTACAGGTATATAGTATATGGTAAAGGGTATAGGTATATAGTATATGGTAAAGGGTATATGGTGAACGTAAATGGTACAGGGCATAGGTATATAGTATATGGTAATAGGTATGGCATAGGTATAGTATATGGTAAAGTATAGTTATATTATAGTAGGCATAGGTTATAGTATTGGTAAAGGGGTATAGGTATATAGTATATGGTAAAGGGTATAGGTATATAGTATATGGTAAAGGGCATAGGTATATAGTATATGGTAAAGGGTATATGAAGGGCTGGAGGTAAAACTCCAGCTGGGGTTACTTGGAAAAGAGGTTTGGGAAACACTAGTGAGCTGAGGGTTAGGGCTAGGGTGAGGGGTTGGGGTTAGGGAAGTGGGCTAGCAGTTACTACCTACCTTCTGCCGCCCTAGGCAAGACCAAATGCCACAACTAGAATAGTCCCAGTAATCAAAATTACGTTGAAAAGACAGGTAAAAAAATTATTTTCCAGACGTTGAAGTTAGGTTCAATTTAGGTTCTGAATGAAAGGTGAAAATACATATTTTCTGTACATTTTAAATACATATTTTTCAGGACGTTGAAAAGGTGTATTTTCCGGACGTTGAAAAAGTATTATTTTCTGGACGTTGAAATCGGGTTGAAAATACTTATTTTCCAGATGTTGAAAATACGTATTTTCCCGATGCTGAAATCTGGCACATTTTTGGTTCTGAATGAAAGTTGAAAATAAATGCAGGTTTTCATCAAGGATATCTCTGTACTTCATCTTTGCCTCGATCCTGACTAGTCTCCTAGTCCCTGTCACTGAAAAACATCCCCACAGCATGATGCTGCCACCACCATGCTTCACCGTAGGGATGGTGCCAGGTTTCCTCCAGACGTGACGCTTGGCATTCAGGCCAAAGAGTTCAATCTTGGTTTCATCAGACCAGAGAATCTTGTTTCTCATGGTCTGAGAGTCTTTAGGTGCCTTTTGGCAAACTCCAAGCGGGCTGTCATGTGCCTTTTACTGAGGAGTGGCTTCCGTCTGGCCACTACCATAAAGGCCTGATTAGTGGAGTGCTGCAGAGATGGTTGTCCTTCTGGAAGGTTCTCCTATCCCCACAGAGGAACTCTGGAGGTCTGTCAGAGTGACCATCGGGTTCTTGGTCACCTCCCTGACCAAGGCCCTTCTCCACCGATTGCTCAGTTTGGCCGGGCGGCCAGCTCTAGGAAGAGTCTTGGTGGTTCCGAACTTCTTCCATTTAAGAATGATGGAGGCCACCGTGTTCTTGGGGACCTTCAATGCTGCAGACATTTTTTGGTTCCCTTCCCCAGATCTATGCCTCGATACAATCTTGTCTCGGAGCTCTACGGACAATTCCTTCGACCTCATGGCTTGGTTTTTGCTCTGACATAAACTGTCAACTGTGGGACCTTATATAGACAGGTGTGTCTTTCCAAATCTGTCCAATCAATTGAATTTACCACAGGTGGACTCCAATCAAGTTGTAGAAACATCTCAAGGATGATCGATGGAAACAGGATGCACCTGACATCAATTTCACGTCTCACAGCAAAGGGTATGAATACTTCTGTAAATAAGGTATCTGTTTTCTACAAACCTGTGTTCGCTTTGTCATTATGGGGTATTGTGTGTAGATTGCTGAGGATTTGACATTTATTTAATGAATTTTAGAATAAGGCTGTAACGTAATTTATTTTTCAAGGGGTCTGAATACTTTCCGAAGACACTGTAGCTTCTCAGTGATGTTATGGACCAGGGAACAGAGCTCTCTATGGGGTTAACTACCTTCTCAGTGATGTTGTGGACCAGGGAACAGAGCTCTCTATGGGGTTAACTACCTTCTCAGTGATGTTGTGGACCAGGGAACAGAGCTCTCTATGGGGTTAACTACCTTCTCAGTGATGTTGTGGACCAGGGCACAGAGCTCTCTATGGGGTTAACTACCTTCTCAGTGATGTTGTGGACCAGGGCACAGAGCTCTCTATGGGGTTAACTACCTTCTCAGTGATGTTGTGGACCAGGGCACAGAGCTCTCTATGGGGTTAACTACCTTCTCAGTGATGTTGTGGACCAGGGCACAGAGCTCTCTATGGGGGTTAACTACCTTCTCAGTGATGTTGTGGACCAGGGCACAGAGCTCTCTATGGGGTTAACTACCTTCTCAGTGATGTTGTGGACCAGGGAACAGAACTCTCTATGGGGTTAACTACCTTCTCAGTGATGTTGTGGACCAGGGCACAGAGCTCTCTATGGGGTTAACTACATTCTCAGTGATGTTGTGGACCAGGGCACAGAGCTCTCTATGGGGTTAACTACCTTCTCAGTGATGTTGTGGACCAGGGAACAGAGCTCTCTATGGGGTTAACTACCTTCTCAGTGATGTTGTGGACCAGGGAACAGAGCTCTCTATGGGGTTAACTACCTTCTCAGTGATGTTGTGGACCAGGGCACAGAGCTCTCTATGGGGTTAACTACCTTCTCAGTGATGTTGTGGACCAGGGAACAGAGCTCTCTATGGGGTTAGCTACCTTCTCAGTGATGTTGTGGACCAGGGAACAGAGCTCTCCTTGGGTTGCCTCTTTTAGTAGCTCCTCCCTCTCCTGGGTCCCAGAGGCAGACAGCACCTCCCGTAGGATCTTCAGCTGCCACGCATACTGACCCGGCTGCTTCTCTGTTTCTAGACCCACGTTCAGCTCCTCCAGAGGGACTTTACCTGGAGGAGGGGATAACAGGGTTGTACTCAGTAGGTAACAAACAGAAGAAAACAGAAACAGGGAGGGACTTGTCCAATAACAAATGCTTGTTTTACATGGCAAAATCCTACATTTGCTACGTTACAATGTGCGCTGAATACGACCCAGGGCTGTGGTTATCAAGGCAAAAACTTTGCTGGAATGCTCAGATAGAAATCTATTATGTAGACATGTAGGATAAGAAATCATGTCAGCTCTATTCACAACATTTCTATCTTGTACAGTATGTTGCACAGTGGGCAGAGGGTTTGAACCAAACCAGACCTGACTGCAACATTTACTGGGCTGACTAGACTCACTACAACACCAGTACAAAATACTAACTCTATAAATACTCACAGCTACTCTGATATGTGTCTGGGGGAAAAAAGCTCCGGTCCAACTTCTGAGGAACTCATGTAATGGAGAAGTTTGGTGAACCAAGTTCCCGAGTGATGATTGACCTTCCTGAGACATGGAGAATTTGTGCTAGCTCCCCTAGCTAATGCCTAGGTTTTTAGCTCAGCAGGCTAGGCTAACACAGTCTTGTTCACTCAGGCGGTTGTTGAAGGCATGACCCCTGAGAGACCCATAATTACATGGCAACAGAGAACACAAGCCAGTACCTGTTGAGTATTCTAATGCAGACAGCACAGTGTTGACACATCAGTGTTTACCAGGGCCATCTCAGCATCCAAAAACTGACTGGTTGAAATTAGGCCATTATGATGTCACTTTAAAAATCAGTAATTCCAACCAGTTTCTGGGTGTAGTGACATCATTTCAACCCACCTCGGGATCATGACAAAGTCTGTGTCATTTAAAACATTCAGTTATTTTATGCCATTTAGCAGACGCTTTTATCCTAAGCAACTTACAAGTCACGCCCGCATACATTGTTACATATGGGTGGACCCGGGAATCGAACCCACAATCCTGGAGTTGCAAGCCGACTGAGCTATACAGGAGCAAATATATGATGTACTGGTTATTAGCGAGCCTAATTGTAAAGAGGATACATGTTAGTATGGGCGCCTAGCTTTTATGATTTTATAATGAGTGAAAAGAGGCAGTGTGATGTGTAAAACCCTCTCAATCAGAGATGTAGTAAAGACAATCTGACAAGCAGTAGGAGAGGGTGTCACAGTGTCTGTCTACAACACAACAGGAAACCACACCACTCACCTCCTCCATCTTGTTGAGCTCCTCCACCGTTTTCTGTCTGTCTACAACACAACAGGAAACCACACCACTCACCTCCTCCATCTTGATGGTTGTTGAGCTCCTCCACCGTTTTCTGTCTGTCTACAACACAACAGGAAACCACACCACTCACCTCCACCATCTTGATGGTTGTTGAGCTCCTCCACCGTTTTCTCCACCACTTTCGCTTTGTTTTTCCTCTAAAAAAGACAAGAGAAAAGAGAATGTTGTCATTGATCAACTCTGGTCTAGTTCACACGATATTAAAAATGTCTGGGTAAAGTAGATGAGATTACTAACATGACCTAAAAACCGTTCTCTCTCTTAGTTTTTCCTCTACAATGAGAAAAGTGTGTCGTCTGATGTGGGGAACACATTATGACAATCTCTCAACATATTACAGATTTACTAAAAAGCACTAAGAATACCTAAACACTATTTTAGACGTTTTGAAGTCACCAGGGAAACCAGAACTTGTTCTTAGTAAACTGAAGCAGGGTAGGAGCTTATGTAAAGCGTCTGATGGGTGCTTGACCCATTTTACTCTCTCATAGGGAGTGATTAGTACGCACCTGACTGGAAATGAATAATTCATTTGTTCAAAGTTACATAACGTGTCCATGCTACAGGGTTAGGATTCAACAGCTGACCTGGTCTTCATACTATTTGTACAATGGGATACACTGGTGATTTACTTCAAACTGATCATACCAGTACTTATGGAGTCTTAATAAACATTTCTGCATTAGATACATTACGTTGTTGTAGAATAACCTATATTAGGTGAGACTAACCACTACACTAAGGAGTTACTGTGAGGTCAATCATAACAGATTTTGTAATAGGGCAATTCAATGGTAACGGAATGATGCTGAGACTCTGATTTTGTTTTGTATTTAAAATGCATACCAAAAAAGCAAAACATTGATTTCAAAGTTTAACAAACCATCATGGAACTCTATGCACAAGGACCACTTTTTACATGGAAAATTTTTACAAAAACACATTTACAGGAAGAACTGTGCAGATACAACATTTGGTAACAATAAAACTGAGGGAGATTTTACCGAAAATTCTGTTACCAAACTTTGCATCTGTTTTTCCAGTAAACGTTTTATTTTTTTTACTGTGTAAATTGTTCAAAGTAGTCATTGTGCATAGAGTTGTATTGTTTGTTAAACTCTGAAATCAATGTTTTTCGATTGGCATACATTTTAAAGTGAAAAAACTGAGTTTCCATGGAATTGCCCATTACCAAATATTAGCCAAGCTTGAAACAAAAAACCTGTTTGCAGCATAGGTCACTACTCTATACCAACCTATTCCTAAACTGTCAAACAAGATCAAGGTTCCTGACATTACTAGGGAGTCCAGATCACACAACTTTACATTGAGTCCTCACTGTGTAGACTGTAAAAAAATACAAATAAAGTTGTATTGCCACAAACACCAGATAGGTGGAGTGAAATGTGTTGTTTTACAGGGTCAGCCATAGTAGTATGATAGGTCCAGTGTAATGTGTTGTTTTACTGGGTCAGCAATAGTAGTATGATAGGTGCAGTGTAATGTGTTGTTTTACAGGGTCAGCCATAGTAGTATGATAGGTCCAGTGTAATGTGTTGTTTTACAGGGTCAGTCATAGTAGTATGATAGGTGCAGTGTAATGTGTTGTTTTACAGGGTTAGCCATAGTAGTATGATAGGTGCAGTGTAATGTGTTGTTTTACAGGGTCAGCCATAGTAGTATGATAGGTCCAGTGTAATGTGTTGTTTTACAGGGTCAGTCATAGTAGTATGATAGGTGCAGTGTAATGTGTTGTTTTACAGGGTCAGCCATAGTAGTATGATAGGTGCAGTGTAATGTGTTGTTTTACAGGGTCAGCCATAGTAGTATGATAGGTGCAGTGTAATGTGTTGTTCTACAGGGTCAGCCATAGTAGTATGATAGGTGCAGTGTAATGTGTTGTTTTACAGGGTCAGTCATAGTAGTATGATAGGTGCAGTGTAATGTGTTGTTTTACAGGGTCAGCCATAGTAGTATGATAGGTGCAGTGTAATGTGTTGTTTTACAGGGTCAGCCATAGTAGTATGATAGGTGCAGTGTAATGTGTTGTTCTACAGGGTCAGCCATAGTAGTATGATAGGTGCAGTGTAATGTGTTGTTCTACAGGGTCAGCCATAGTAGTATGATAGGTGCAGTGTAATGTGTTGTTCTACAGGGTCAGCCATAGTAGTATGATAGGTGCAGTGTAATGTGTTGTTCTACAGGGTCAGTCATAGTAGTATGATAGGTGCAGTGTAATGTGTTGTTCTACAGGGTCAGCCATAGTAGTATGATAGGTCCAGTGTAATGTGTTGTTTTACAGGGTCAGCCATAGTAGTATGATAGGTGCAGTGTAATGTGTTGTTCTACAGGGTCAGCCATAGTAGTATGATAGGTGCAGTGTAATGTGTTGTTCTACAGGGTCAGCCATAGTAGTATGATAGGTGCAGTGTAATGTGTTGTTTTACAGGGTCAGCCATAGTAGTATGATAGGTCCAGTGTAATGTGTTGTTCTACAGGGTCAGCCATAGTAGTATGATAGGTGCAGTGTAATGTGTTGTTTTACAGGGTCAGCCATAGTAGTATGATAGGTCCAGTGTAATGTGTTGTTCTACAGGGTCAGCCATAGTAGTATGATAGGTGCAGTGTAATGTGTTGTTCTACAGGGTCAGCCATAGTAGTATGATAGGTGCAGTGTAATGTGTTGTTCTACAGGGTCAGCCATAGTAGTATGATAGGTGCAGTGTAATGTGTTGTTCTACAGGGTCAGCCATAGTAGTATGATAGGTCCAGTGTAATGTGTTGTTTTACAGGGTCAGCCATAGTAGTATGATAGGTGCAGTGTAATGTGTTGTTCTACAGGGTCAGCCATAGTAGTACGGCGCCCCTGGAGCACATTAGAGTTGAAGGCACAGAAATAATTGTCACTTTGACGTCTCCGATTTTCAAACCAGCGACTTTTCGGTTACTGTCCCAACGTTCTGACCGCTAGGCTACCTGCCACCATGCAGTATGGCCGTCCGTGGAGACCAGCCACCTCCTGCCATAACACAACGTTCTGACCGCTAGGCTTCCTGCCACCATGCAGTTTGGCCGTCCATAGAGACCAGCCACCTCCTGACCTCCTGCCATAACAACGTTCTGACCGCTATGCTACCTGCCACCATGCGACCTCCTGCCATAACACAACGTTCTCCCACCACCACTACCGCTGTATAAACACGCCAAACAACATGGCGTACCAGCTTCATTTGTGCCTGGAAAACAGGGCGTGTCCCAAACGGCACCCTATTCCCTATATAGTACACTACTTTTGACCAGAGTCCCATGGACCCTGGTCTCACAGGAGCTCACGACAAAGGGAAGAGTGTCATATAGGACGCAGCCCCAATAAATACCATCATATCTAATATTCCAATAAGACAATATCTAATATTCCAATAAGTTACATCTAATATTCCAATAAGACAATATCTAATATTCCAATATCATAATACCTAATATTCCAATAACACAAGTGACTCCAGGAATACAATGTCGAGACCATTACAGCATGATGTGATGGACATGTGTTTAAAGACCTGCTTTAAATCTCAGTAAAGGATCTTAAATACACAAGTCCAGGAGCATATGTTGAAGAGGGGTTGGAAAGGCTCTCTTTAACACGGCCATAAATCACATCTTCTCTTCCTTCTCTGGGAACACGTCCCAAATGGCACCCTATTCCCTATATAGTGCACTGCTTTTGAACAGGGGCCATAGGCCAGGGCCCAAAGTAGTGCACTACAGAGGGAATAGGGTGCCATTTGTGACAGAGGGCCAGTCTCCACAGTCCTTTTAAACATAGGAGAAACTGCAACGTGGAGGTATGTCTTCACTGACTAAACTCACAGGGAACATCCTAGCCCTATGGCAGAATGTAGCCTACACCGGACTCCTAATGGTTACAAGTTCCTCCTGGCCCTAGAGTACAAGGTTAAGATTGAATGTTTTGTGACTTTGAGAAATATCTAGTCCAGGTATGCTCTCACAAGAGTTGAAAGAAACTTTCCAAGAAGAGCGCAAAATGTCACATTTTCTTGTAGAATAAAGAAGTGGCCTGTCAAAGGTGCAAGCATAGAAGACACAGAAATGTACCCTAGGTTGATAGAACTAGAAAAACAAACCTCGCCAATCAAAAGGAAATTCAGAAAAATAAAACCACATCTTCAACACAGCAAAGAACATTCAGACTTAGTTAAGGGACATTTAATTTGGACTGTGATTAAGTCTTTCAAGCGGAGAAACAAATGTTCCTTGAGATTTCATTAACACCGAGGTTCTTCATGTGGTATTTTCATCATGGTCCATATGGAGCCATAGTGTGTCTCTCCAGGCTTCTCTTGTCGAGCCCTCTCTAGCAGACCTTCACACTTCTCCAGTTGCCTGCGCCAACCAGGCAAACAGATGGTTTTGTGATCTGCTATGCAGAAGCTGCTATGCAGCTTGCCAGCGGCTTGGTTTGCAGTACCTCTAAGTGCTTACTTACTTTGTGTAGAATAAAATTAATTTTCCATCTCAAGGAGAGTTGGGAGTGTTAATATCAAGCACCACCTGGTCCCATTGATACATGAAGGAATCCACTAAGAGAATATTGGCTAATCAATCAAAGAATTCACCCTGCTTTTAACTGTGTAAGTGGTCTCAATGTGTCTGTTTGACAGATAAGTGAAATGATATCCCCTTCAACTTAACGATTTATCCATGTAGTCTCTCTCCTCTATGCCTCATAGAAGTGGTACAATCTGGGGTAAAATGTTTGGATAATCCATATCTGGGGTATAATTTCTGGATGTAATATAAGCCTGTGCCACTGGTTGTAAATGTCAAAGAGGCAGTACTAGTACATCTAATTAACTGTAGCCTAAAAAAATACATTTAGCTGCATATGTAATATTACAATTTTCATATCCTCAAGTCACTTCCGTTCTATCACAAACAGTGCAGCAGTTTGTAGTTATCGGTAGTTGTCACAGAAAACATGAACTGATTTTGTGAACCATGTAGAAAAACCCAACAACTCATATGATCAGAAAGTAGAAACTTTGACAGATGTAATTCACTGACTACGTAGGCTATAGGGTGTCAATCAATGAATACAGTGTATAATCTACTGGTGATGATGATCCATTGTATCAATGATCTCAACCTTCTGTGTCATTGTATCAGCAGTGACTGTCAATGTCTGGCCAACCTGCAACTTCTTATAATTAATGCGGAAGATTTACATCAGATTAATTCCCTGCACCGCTACATTTGACAAGTAGGTTTCAAACTCGTGGGAAAAAGTCAGTATCTGAGGATAGACTACATTTCTGAAGTTATTTGCAGCACATCTGTTTCCAATCAAAATTTAGAAAACGTTGCACAAATTCACTGATAGCCTACATCACCCGTTGCAAAGCACTGACGTTAATGAACGTGTAATCTCGGTTGTAAAATCCACGAGATTAATGCACGTGGGAAATGAGGCTATAACCCTAACAAACAGTTTTGTTTGATCGATTTAAAAAGTGATCAACACGCCTGTGCTGTGCCAGGAATCGGTGCGACAATGGCAGCTACAATAACAAAACTCCACTCGGTTCGCTAATTAACTTCCTAGATGATTTCACAACAAATATGAATAAATACATTTTTCTTGCAAATTCCGCCACACACCTTGCTGTGTCTGCAACCCATGCTTGCCCCGCGTCCACTCGTCAACCCTACCAGTCCTTGTCTAGAGTTACAAACTCTTCTGAACAACGCGCCTCGCTGGGCTGGGCTGTGGTGTGGTCGGGTCTCTCAAGAGGTCTGTGCTGCTCTCTCACTCACAACAACTCGCTCAACTCGACCAGATGGGCAGTTATTTTTCAAAATCAAAAACACTGATCTTAAAACAATCTGGACCGACCTAAATATCCACGTTCTAGAAGGGGAAACACTGAAGATCAGTGGATTGCGCATCCTGTGTCGCAAAATTTAGGCTTGTGGGTGTTTCTAGTCTGTTGATTTGACATTTTACCGTAATACACCGAAGACACGACCCATCAGACAATACAATGATTTACAAAACAAATATTAGGTTAACTAATCATGGGTTTCATACATGGAAAATGTTTCATATTGCCTTGGCTATTTAATCATAGCAGGCCTATAATGTGCCCCAGAATATTGAATTCTCACTGTACTAAGATACAAATAAAGAATGGTATGGGTTGATCTGAATCTGCGATTTTGTTTATAATACATGTTGGGGAACAGTCCATGTGAAAAACACACAGAAAAGTCAATGGAAATGTAAAAGACACACAGTAGAGCCATCATCCATCCATCCATCCATCCATCCATCCATCCATCCATCCAGGGAGGGAGGGCTGTCAGAAGGACATGGGACATGGACCTTCATGTTTTTACTTTACAGACTAATTCCTTCTCTGAGGAGGAGGCCATGTTTATTTTATTTATTTATTTATTTAACCTTTATTTAACCAGGTAAGCCAGTTGAGAACAAGTTCTCATTTACAACTGCGACCTGGCCCAAGATAAAGCAAAGCAGTGCGATAAAAACAACAACACAGAGTTACATATGGGGTAAACAAAACATAAAGTCAAAAATACAATAGAAAATATATATACAGTGTGTGCAAATGTAGCAAGTTATGGAGGTAAGGCAATAAATAGGCCATAGTGCAAAATAATTACAATTTAGCATTAACAACAAAGATGATACTGGGGTGCAAATATGCAAAATAAATAACAATATGGGGATGAGGTAGTTGGGTGGGCTAAATTCAGATGAGCTGTGTACAGGTGCAGTGATCGGTAAGGTGCTCTGACAACTGATGCTTAAAGTTAGTGAGGGAGATGAGAGTCTCCAGCTTCATGTTGATCTTGCAGGGAGGGGTAGCCAGCTGTAAAGACTCCATATCATAGCTTTACCCCTGTAGGCTGCACACAGCCCTCTGGGATAACTTACCAACCTGCAACATTTCATCATGTCCCATAGTTAAGAATGATCGTTGCCCTCATGACTTACAAATCAAATCACACCGAATTGTATTTGTAACATGCTTCGGTGTAGACTAACAGTGAAACGCTTACCTACATTCCCAACAACGCAGAGAAAGAAAATAATGAAATAATAGAAAAGTAAAACACGTAATAATAAAAGTAATAATAAAATGTATTTAATACATAATGAGTAACGATAACTTGGCTATATACACAGGGTACCAGTACTGAGGCTATGTGCAGGGGTATGAGGTAATTGAGGTAGATATGTACATAACTAGGAATAAAGTGACAGATAATTAACAACAGAAGCAGCGTATGTGATGAGTCAAAAAAGTTAGTGGCTGTTAGTTTACAATCACATTTCCCAAAGGTGACATCATGGGCTCCCGAGTGGCGCAGTGGTCTAAGACACTGCATCTCGGTGCTGGAGGCGTGCTACAGACCCCCCTGGTTCGATTCCAGGCTGTATCACAACTGGCCGTGATTGGGAGTCCCATAGAGCAGCGCGCAATTGGCCCAGCATCCGGGTTTGGCCGCTGTAGGCCGTCATTGTAAATAATAATTTGTTCTTAACTGACTTGCCTAGTTAAATAAATTTAAAATGGGTTAAATTCAAAACTACAAGAGGTTAAACAGATATGACTGTGATATGCGCGGCAGGTAGTTTAGTGGTTAAGTATCCGAAAGGTCGCTGGTTCTAATCCCCGAGTTGACTAGGTGAAAAATCTGTTGATGTGCCCTTGAGCAAGGCACTTAACCCTAATTGCTCCTGTAAGTCTGCTAAATGACATAAATGATATGGCCGTCTTACAAAATTACCTTTCCCTGCAATTAACATTCAATAATTTCAACTGTGAACAAAGAGATTTTATCTCTCAGATACGACTCTGAAAGTTGGCCCCCTTACAAAAATATCTATATTATCAACATTACATTATTTCAACTTTGAACATATTAGCGACAAAGTCCTCTATCTTGTAAAATAGAGGACAAACTAAAAGTTGTATAAAAACAATACAAGCAGAACAATGTATTCAAGTGTCGCTCTTTACTCTGACACACCAGCTGTCTTCCCCACAACCCGGCAATGAGTTCACTGAAACACTGAGTCTATTTTTGGCCTTGGTCTCTGTTTAGTTTATACTAAGCATCTACAGTACTAGGGTCAGATTAATCCGTGGAATCCCAAACGCTTTCATTTTTTGTCAAAAACTCGGTCTATTTATAGGTTAGTGAGCTCTAATCCCACATTAAATGATGGAGCAGTTGTTCGTTGAGAACTGTGTGTGAACAGTGGAACTTTCCATAGCAGTAGCAGCTGCAGTGTCTCAGTTACCCCCTGGGCCCATAAGGCCCCGTATACACTTAGGTTATACATCTGACGTGCGACGCATTTGTAACAATGGTTGTGACACAACTTATGTGCTTGAAAAATGTTTACACAGCGCTTGTGTGATTAGTTTTGTTGCATCACAACCATTGTGCCGAATGTGTTGCAGATCAGTTGCACAACCGAAGTGTGTACAGGGCCATACGTTCCCTTTGTTGCGATCAGAGTGACAAGCTGTCGGATGCAATGTCGAGTTTGCACTGCCATCTAAAGGATAAACAATATGTCAACGTCATTCTAACATTTATTCAACACAATCTGACTAAACACAGGGATAATCTGGAAGGGTCATTGTCATTGGTAGGTCATTTATCTGAGAAAGAGGGCCTCATTGGACACTGGAAAGAGGGAGGAGAAAGGAGGTGACATCCTTCCTTTTTGTTACCAGGCACTAGGATAGGAAATGATGACTTTCTCAAAGTGAGGGTGGAAAGGAAGGATAAGATTATAGGGCCATGACTTTTTAATACCAATCCTATAATCATATGCTACAGTGCTGATCACTTTGAAGACCAGGTGTATTAGGCTAGACGACCAAAGACTGAAGGAACAGCAGGCTAAGCAGGCTAAGACTTTGGAGGTCATTGTATGTGTGAATAGGGGATTATACGTAAGAGACAATAACGGGGGGGGGGGGGGGGGGGGGGTTAGCCCTATTTGGTAAAAGACCAAGTTCATATTACGGCAAGAACAACTCAAATAAGCAAAGAGAAACGCCAGTCCCATCATTACTTTAAGACATTAAGGTCAGTCAATACGAAAAAATGTCAAGACCTTTGAAAGTTTCTTCAAGTGCAGTCGCAAAAACCATCAAAACGCTATGATGGAACTGGCTCTCATGAGGACCGCCACAGGAATGGAAGACCCAGAGTCACCTCTGCTGCAGAGGATACGTTTATTAGAGTTACCAGCCTCAGAAATTGCAGCCCAAATAAATGCTTCATAGAGTTCAAGTCACAGACACATCTCAACATCAGCTGTTCAGAGGGGACTGTGTGAATCAGGCATTCATGGTCGAATTGCTGCAAATAAACCACTACTAAAGGACACCAATAAGAAGAAGAGACCTGCTTGGGCCAAGAAACACGAGCAATGGACATTAGACCAGTGGAAATCTGTCCTTTGGCCTGGAGTCCAAATTTGAGATTTTTGGTTCCAACTGCCGTGTCTTTGTGAGACGCGGTGTGGGTGAACGGATGATCTCCGCATGTGTGGTTCCCACCGTAAAGCATGGAGGAGGAGGTGTTATGGTGTGGGGGTGCTTTGCTGGTGACACGGTCTGTGATTTATTTAGAATTCAAGGCACACTTAACCAGCATGGCTACCACAGCATTCTGCAGTGATACGCAATCCCATCTGGTTTGCGCTTAGTGGGACTATCATTTGTTTTTCAACAGGACAATGACCCAACACACCTCCGGGCTGTGTAAGGGCTATTTTACCAAGAAGGAGAGTGATGGAGTGCTGCATCAGATGACCTGGCCTCCACAATCCCCCGACCTCAACCCAATTGAGATGGTTTGGGATGAGTCGGACGGCAGAGTGAAGGAAAAGCAGCCAACGAGTGCTCAGCATATGTGGGAACTCCTTCAAGACCGTTGGAAAAGCATTCCAGGTGAAGCTGGTTGAGAGAATGCCAAGAGTGTGCAAAGCTGTCATCAAGGCAAAGGGTGGCTATTTGAAGAATCTCAAATATAAAATATATTTTGATTTGTTTAACACTTTTTTGGTTACTACATGGTTCCATATGTGTTATTTCATAGTTTTGATGTCTTCACTATTATTCTACAATGTAGAAAATAGTAAAAATAAAGAAAAACCCTTGAATGAGTAGGTGTGTCCAAACTTTTGACTGGTACTGTATGTGTAACAGTTTATTTGAAACTCCATATCCATCATGCATGAACAGTTATTAGTTCTTAAGGAGGATCAGACATCAGCAGGGTAGGAGGGTAGGAGGACCAGACATCAGAAGGGTAGAGGGTAGGAGGACCAGACATCAGCAGGGTAGGACGGTAGGAGGACAAGATATCAGCAGGGTAGGAGGAACAGACATCAGGAGGGTAGGAGGACCAGACATCAGCAGGGTAGAGGGTAGGAGGACCAGACATCAGCAGGGTAGAGGGTAGGAGGACCAGACATCAGCAGGGTAGAGGGTAGGAGGACCAGATATCAGCAGGGTAGGAGGAACAGACATCAGGAGGGTAGGAGGACCAGACATCAGCAGGGTAGAGGGTAGGAGGAACAGACATCAGCAGGGTAGAGGGTAGGAGGACCAGACATCAGCAGGGTAGGAGGGTAGGAGGACCAGACATCAGCAGGGTA